CTATACAAAGTTCATTGACCGGTATAGGGGAATACCTGTTCTAGGACGTTGGACCCTTTCTACCTAATTCTGCTGCTATCTGGTTGAAGGGCTAGGTCTAATACACTTCCTGTGGCCAATTTTGTCACAGTTCCAAACAATATTTTTACCTTATGACAAAGAGAAAACCTTTTCTCTAAACTTTTAAGTTCAGTCATTAGGGACTGATGAATTTAACTGACTGACAAATGCTAGTTTAACAAGAGAAAAGAGAGATTTTTATTGACAAATATATTATGCAATAGTTTGTAGGAAAAATGTTAATGCAAAATTTGAACATCTATCGTCCTTTTTTTTCCCTCCCAAATAAGGAGCTTTATATCTTTTCTAAGAACATATACCCTCTTAAAAGGAGAAAGGGAAAAAGAAACTACTTTTATGGGAAAAAGAAATGACTTAATAGGGAAGCAGAAAAAAAGAAAATAAATGAAAGATAGGTGGGCCCTTAGAAGAATAAATGGGAGATGTAGTTTAATGACAATATCTGTTGCCCACTTCTAGTCAATCCCCTGGTTGTGGGGAGGGTTATTTATGACTATTGAGTTCATTGGGGAGAGTCTGTACTTACTTCTTTTGAAGCTTCAGCCAATACCCAGTGGTACTCAGGGGCTAGTCTGTGCTGGGTATTGTGCTGGTGGCGCTCAAAGAATTATGCAGTGCTGGGGATTCCAAGATTCCTGTATATGAGGCATGAGCTCAGTCTATTGAGTCATCTCTTTGGTCCCTGAGGCACTGCATTTAAGTAGTAATGGAGTTTGATAATGATAATAATTATTACAGATGCATATATATTTATGCATTTGGTTTGGGGGCCATACCTGCTGTGTTCATGGCTTACTTCTGGCTCCGTGCTTATGGATCACTCTTGGCAGGGCTCGGAGTAAACCCATATGTGGGTCTGGGGATTCAACCAGGTCATTGCATAAAGGCAAACACCTCACCCACTGTATCTCTGCAGCCCAACAATAATAATTTTTAAAAGTCTATTCTCTTAGAGAAAACAAAAGGGAATGCCCTGCCACAGAGGTGGGGTGGGATGAGGGGGATGGGGGGGTGGGAGGGATACTGGGATCATTGGTTGTGGAGAATGGGCACTGGTGGAGGGATGGGTACTCGATCATTGAAACCCAAGCACAAAAATTTGTAAGTCTACAACTGTACCTCAAGGTGTTATAAAAAATAATAATAAAAATAATAAAAATAATATTAATTAATGAAAAAATTTAAAAATAGTCTATTCTCTTAGACAAGGGATAGCTCATTAGCTTTGCATGCAGGGGATTCACACAGTCACCCAGGCACTGGCAACACTGGCTGTGGCCCAAACACCAAACCAAAAACAATAGCAGCGACAACAAGAAGAAACCCTATTCTCAAATGCTTTTAACTTAAAATTTTTTCAAATTATTTTGGGCCGCATCCCAGCCCACCCTCTGCCCAGAGCTATATCCCACTCATTCCCAGGTCAATGCTTGTAGGTAGCTCCCAGTGGTGCTCGAGGGCCCATCTGATGCCAAGAATCAAACCGCCAACTCCTGAATGTGAAGCATGCAGTCCTTCCCTGGATCTTCCAGGCCCTCAAAATTAATTTTATATTACAGTAAGTATTCTGGAACCCCACTGCCTTATTCAAAGAAGGGTTATTGCCGGGAAAACTCAATGAAATGCCAGATTGTGGTGGTTGCTGGTGCAGGAGCTGGTGCTGGTGCTCTTCATCCTCAGCTGTCTGAAGTCTGCACATCACAAGCTCCCAAATGCCACAATTCATCACCCTCCTCTGCAATTCTCTTTCCAGTCCTGCCCCTCCCTGATGCTACGCAGGAACCACTGTGGTCTCCACTCTGAGATCCGTTATAATAAATCCTCAGAAATGTTGAATCCTTTCACCTAAAGTGACCACTTCCTTTTTTTTTTTTTTTTTGGCATGAGAGCTCCCCCTGCTGAGATTTTGGACCAAGTCTTACAAGCCCCAGGAAGTATTTGTTCTTATTTAGATTGTAAGCATCCAACTCAAACCAGACTAAGATTAAAAAAGAAAAGAAAGAAAGAAAGAAAGAAAGAGAGAAAGAAAGAAAGAAAGAAAGAAAGAAAGAAAGAAAGAAAGAAAAAGAAACATTACTGCTTCACATGATGGCAGATCTAAGGGAAAAAGATGGGTCTTAGCCATAAGGGTTCCAAATCAGATGTCTTTTTTTTTTTTTGGCTTTTTGGGTCACACCCGGCGATGCACAGGGGTTACTCCTGGCTCTGCACTCAGGAATTACCCCTGGAGGTGCTCAGGGGACCATATGGGATGCAGGGAATCGAACCCGGGTTGGTCGCATGCAAGGCAAATGCCCTACCCGCTGTGCTATTGCTCCAGCCCCAGATGTCTTCTTTTTCGATCTTCTTTGCTTATTAAGCACTTGGCTTTCTTACTTCCTTTTAGCTCTTCCATTGGCCAACATAAGCTAAGTCTACTGTACCTCTTTAGAGCCTCAGAAGAGAAGGCCATTTCTTAGCATAAAGAGAAAACCTTACGAGAAACTGATTGGCTGTAGTTGAGTCACAGGCTCATCCCTGAGCCAATTACTAGGGCCAGAGTAGGAAGAGTTCTATGACTGACAGACAAATGAGGATCAGAAGGAGAAGTGGCAGGTGAAGGTGGGGGTCAATTCTAAGAAAGGTAGATAAAATAAAAACAACATCTCTTATGACAACGTACTGAAAAATACCAAGACTTCAATAAAAATAGATAACTAAAAACTGGACAAAGAGTGGTTGGGGATATAACTCAGTGATGAATTACCTAAGGACCTGACTTCAACTGTGGTACTGACAGAAAACAAAATTATGGCGAAAGGACTAGAAGTTTCTTCAAAGAAGACATGCAAGTATTTCACAAATATATGAAAATATACTTAGTATCATTAGTCATCTGGAAAATGCAAATCAAACCCACAAAATACTTCATGAGTCCGCTAGGATGGCTATAATTTTAAAAAGTCAGATAATAACAAGTGTGGCAAGGATGTGGAGACATAAGAACTCTCAGACGCTCTTGATGAAAGTGTAAAGCGAGGCAGCCACTGAACAAAACAGATGGGCATTTCTTCAAATGGTTTAGCAGAGTTCCACGTGGCTCAGCAATTTTACGTGTTTCCCCCAAACAAGTGAAAGTGTAACAGCATAAAAACTTGCATGTGAATGTTATAGGATCATTATTCATAACAATTCAGAGGAAGAAACAGGTTTGGTTTTGGGTTTTTTTTTTTCTTTTTTGGATCACACCCGGCGATGCACAGGGGTTACTCCTGGCTCTGCACTCAGAAATCACTCCTGGCTGTGCTCAGGGGACCATATGGGATGCTGGGAATGGAACCCGGGTCAGCCACGTGCAAGGCAAACGCCCCAACCGCTGTACTATCACTCCAGCCCCGGAAGAAACAGTTTTGATGAAAAGACAGTATCGTTATGCAATACATTATTGTCAGTCCTAAAATGAATGAAGTACTGATGCTTACTGCAATATGAATAACCGTGAAACACTAAACTAAGTGAACCCAGTCACAAAATACCACTCATACATCAAACGCCTAAAATAGGTTTAATCTACAGAGACAAAATAGTGGTTGAGAAGCCAGATAGTACATCCGGTAGGGTGTTTGCCTTGCAGTATCTGCCCGGGTCTGATCCCCGCACAGCCCATATGGTCCCCAAGTCTACCAGGAGTGATCCCTGAATTCAGAGCCAGAAGTAAACCCCAGGCACCAATGTGTATGACCCCAAACCAACTTAATTAACTAATTAATTAATCGTGATTGAGTTGGTTTAGGAGCGTGTGAGTACTGGAACTAACAACTAAAATATAAGGTGCTTCTTTTCAAAGTTCTGGACTTGGGGTGTGGTTCAGTGAGAGAGACCTTGCCGCGCACGTGTGAGGCACCACCCAACACCACCATTCCTGCAAACACACTAACCACCACTGCGTGAATTCTTTAACGGATGAAGTTTATTTGTTTTTGTTTTTTGTTTCTTTGTTGGGCCACACCCAGCGATGCTCAGAGTTTACTCCTGATTCTGCGCTCAGGAACTACTCCTGGCGGAGCTTGGGGGACTATAAGTGATGCCGGAGATCGAACCCCGGTCGGCCGCGTGCAAGGCAAACGCCCTACCCACTGTGCTATCGCTCCAGCCCTGGATGAAGTTTATAACACATACATTATATCCCAATAAATGGCCATGGTTTATCTTGCGTGTCCTGCTGTATCTATCCCCTGTGGCTTGAGTGATGGATAGAAATCTCCATTTGCGGCCTGGGCCACTTGAGTTTGAACCTGCTTCTATATGCTAGCAGTGAACTCCGTTCTCAGCAGTCTCCTAGGAGCTGATGACCCTGGCTTTGGATCTGTTCCCTTTTTTCCATGCGCAGTCGGGTTAATACGGTATATTGCCATCTACGTAGCAGATGCTCAATAAACACGTGGCTGTGTGAAGCGCGTTACGTGCACACAGGAACCTGGGAAGGCTCTGAAGGATGCGGACCTGGAGCGCCAGTCGTGCCCCCTAGGCGCGGATGCTCACCTCCAAGGGGACGGCAAATCGGCAATAGTCGCAGGTTAGGGGTAGTCAGGGGAAAATCGCGCACCTCCCAGGGAGAATAGCCAAGGGCGGGGCCGAAGGTGCGGCGAGGGAGCGCCCCCTAGCGGAGAGCGGTACTACGTAACCCGAGCACGGAACGCGGTCTGGCAGGCGGAGCTGACACCCGGGCTCGCAACCGCTCTCCCTCTCCGCACCGGCGCGAGCCGAGAACAATGCTCGCAGCCCTGCGCTCCGGGGCTCGTGGCGCCCCGCCCCTCGGGGGCGGGCCCGGCGCGGGGGCTGCCGGGAAATGTAGTCTTTCTCCCCGCTCGGGTTGCCCTGCGGCCTGCCACTGGGAGCCCTCTTCGAACTACAAGTCCCAGCACACTCCGCGAGGCCTTGATCGCCCGACTTTTGCCGGGAAGGGAGTGGGGCGAACATGGCTGAAGGCGTTCGGCTCGGCTCGACGTGCAGCGGGCTGGATGACCTGCGGGACTCCATGTCCACCAGGGGCGGCTGCAACTTTCCAGAGTACGAGTTTCCCGAGCTTAACACGCGCGCTTTCCACGTGGGAGCCTTCGGGGAGCTGTGGCGTAGCCGGCTGCGTGGGGCCGGGGACTTGGCTCTGAGAGATCCGCCCGCATCCGCGGTCCCCGGGGGGCGAGGGGGCGAGGACTCCGGCCCGGAGGATGCCTCGGTGGCCCGGGATCTGGGTTGCAGCTTGGAAGCGGCCGCCGAGCTGAGGGCGGTGTGCGGGTAAGTGCGCTGTCGAAGGGTCTTCTTTGCTCTTTCGGGCCAATCCCCGGGGTGCTGCTGCCTTAGAGCCAGACGGGTCGGCTCAACCTTGCGGGGTGCCTTTCTATCCTGGGAAAAAAGCCCAGGGTAGAAAGATCGCCCTTTGCAAGCAAGCTTTCAGCCTGCTGGAACCTTCCCCAAACGCCAGCAGCCCTGTGCTCAGAATGCACCGTTCCCGCGAGGGGCAGGATCGAGAGGTTTGATGTTCGCTGGTTTTTAAGCCCCGGTTAATAGAAAGTGACAGCGACGTGTACCCGGCATTGACAGACTCTGACAATGGAGAAGCTTTAGTGATTGGTGAGGCTGGACGGATGTGTTTCAGTGGACTCCCTGGGCATGCTATTCCCACATCTCCCCAGGCGTGCCTTAGTTGGAGAGAAAATCCAAAAGAACTTTTAACACTGCTTAGCCCTTCATTAATCAGCCTGTGTTCTGTTCTTCGTAGAATAAGCCGTAGGAAAATCCCGCTTTGAATATGGACTTCTCTGAGAGGCCTGCCAGATTTTTCTCCCCAGACTTGATTATTCAGTGATGTAAATTTAGGACAAAATCCTGTTGATCCTGGTTGATTGCTTTTTCTTTTTGTTTTGCTTTAGCCTTGATAAACTGAACTGCCTCAAGGAAGGGGAGGATCCAGAAGTTATCCCAGAGGATACGGAGCCGTCACATTGGGGTATGAGGACTTCCATTTTATGCCTATTCATTAAAACTTCTTTCGATATTATCCCCCCGAAATGAAGGTATTATATTGTTATCATGCATATGACACCCCCTGGATTCAACCTTTGTTGACGTTTACTCACATTTGTCTTAGCTGTGGTTGGGGAACGCACTAAGTTTTTCTCTTACTAGACTTGAGTATGCTGCAGACATCAAAATTTTTCCCTGGAGCTGGAGAGATGGTGGGGAGGGGGCGGGCAGGGCGTTTGCCTTGCACGCGGCCGACCCAGGTTTGATTCCCGGCATCCCATATGGTCCCCTGAGCACCGCCAGGAGCAACTCCTGAGTGCAGAGCCAGGAGTAACCCCTGTGCATTACTGGGTGTGACCCAAAAAGCAAAAAAAAAAAAAAAAAAGATATATCCCTAAAAATATTAGCATATAATTTCTGAAGCTATTCTTTTTTTAAAAATTTATTTATTTTGCTTTTTGGATCACACCCAGTGATGCACAGGAGTATAGTCCTGGCTCTGCACTCAGGAATTGCTCCTGGCGGTGCTTGGGGAATCATGGGATGCCAGAGATCAAACCTGGGTTAGCTACAGTCCGCTGCGTGCGAGGCAAACACCCTACCTGCTGTACTATCGCTCCAGCCCCTGAAGGCATTCTCTTCAGCAGTTATTACTCCTAAGAAATTTAACAGTACACACACGACCTCTAATATCTAGTTCATACTCAGATTTATTACTTGATTTTGTTTGGGTACCTCCCTTGGTGCTGCTCACTCCTGGCATCATCGCCCCTCAGGAAATCAGATTTGGGCCTCTTGACTGCAGAACATACTTAATCCCACCTCAAAAACTCAGGCAGGCATCTCAACTCTACCTTGGTTTCTTTTTCTTATGTAATAGCTGCCAAATCCTTTCTCCTCATCTGTTCAGATGCTCTGGTTTGTTTGACCTCCATGGTTTGTTTGTTTTTGTTTTGACACCACACCTTGTGATGCACAGGGATTACTCCTGGCCCTGCAGGCATCACTCCTGGCCCTGCTCAGGGAACCACATGGGATGCCATGGATTGAACCCAGCTCTGCATAATGCAAGACCAGTACCTTACCAGCTGTAAGACCCCAAGAGTCCTCCATGTTTGACATCCTAAGATTCCTTTCCACATTATCTCTACCCAGCTCTTCCTTAGGGAATAGATACACTTACTGTTACAGGCGGAGGGATCGAGGCGCACTTGGCAAAGTTTAAGTCAAGAGTTCTTTCTTAGCTATCAGCGACTGTTCTCCTTGTGCCCAGAATTGAACAGGAGAGCAGCCCCCCAAACTATTTTCTCAGCTTTTTATGGACATGAATCATCTCCCATTTGCAGGCTAAGTGAGCAATCTGGCCGGATACAGAAGCTAAAGATAAGCGGTTAGCAAAGCAATCTATTGATTACAAAATAGGACTGTTAGTAGGACAATAGATAAACATTGGTTAATATAGAAATTCCCCCTCCAAAAAATAAGAAACCAGAGATGAGACAGTTAAACAATAGTAAAAAAAAATATAAACAGAGTAGTTAGACAACGTGGTTAAACGATTGATTGATTGATGTAGGTGCTAAGCGATAGGCTCCCCTCTTCATTGATCCCCCCCTGCATCGTGTGTCTTGTTTTTCTGCCAAGTGAGCACACATCCTGCCCATTGCCAGATGAGCACACATCCTGCTTTCTGCCAAGCTCACTTGGCAGAAAAACACAGCCTGCTTTTCTGCCATGTGAACATGCCTCCATCTTAGCTGCCGAAGGGGCTCACATTCTGGGCACCAGGGTCAAAGACAGATTTCTCTCTCTCAAGAGAGTGAGCTCAGTTCGTCTTACACTCTTACATTACCTTGAACCCTTCCAGTATTTTAAAGTCCTTGCAGGCTGTTTGACTTCAGGCTTTAAGTGTATTTTACTGCTTTACTCTCATTGTCAGCTGTTCTTGATTAATTAGTTGTCTCTTTCTACTGTGCACTACTGATTGTGTCATTCTCTTGTTTAACACCTTTTAATGGCTTGGGTGGGAGGTGGGAAGAGATCTTAAAGGACTGTATTTCTGTCCCCAGCACCTTATAATATGGTCCCCTAAGCATTGCTCAGAGGATTTCCCAAACTCTAAGCTGGAGGTGTGGTTCCCAAACAAACACAAACTAACTCTGAGTGGGTTCTAAGCAAAAGTCTTTGTGGAGGAGTGGGAGAACTCCCTGTGCTTGTTCCTTATTCCTGGGTCTATGCTTGGGGAATCTCTCCTGGGGGTGCTCCAGGGTCCATATGCCCTGCGATGAATTGAGCCTGGGTCTGCCTGGTGCAAGGAAAGAGTCTTACTAAAAGCCACTCTACTAAAAGCCTTTTTTTTTTTTTGAGATTATAATGTAGCTTTCTTTTCAAAAATGCAGTCAGTGAATTCCAAAAGTCATTTTTATGTAATTCACAAGCGCCTCTACAGTGGCTCTAGCTGATCTTTTTATGTCTAATCTCCACATTGCCTCGGAACACTGCGCTGCTTTCAGTTGCTGAAATGTGCAAATGTGTTTTTCCCCTGAAGGCCTTCCTTAGAACCTTTTTTCTCCTTGTTCCCTGGTCAGATTCTGTCCTTTGAGTATTAAGGACTCAGCACTCTCTTTAGGTCCCCTAATCAGACATTCAGTTTTCTGTCTTCCTAGCTAGAGTTAAAGGTTCTCTAAGCTACATCTGTCACTCATGCTTTTCCTAGAATTTTGACTCCTAATAGGGAGACTGTAGATATTTACGGAATGAATGAAATAAATCTAACTATCCTAAACCTGAGGATGTGATTTTTAGAAATTGAAGATTGAATTTTAGTGATAATTATAAGCAAAGCATTTTTGTTCTAGTTAATAAGATGAAACGGTTTTTATCGGACCAAGTAATGACTAGAAAATTTTTCAGTAAGTGCACAAATATGTGTGCATCTTGTTTTATTTTCAAGGATCTTGTGTTTTTATAAGACTCCCACCAGTTAAAAGATTACAACCTGTGGAGGTTCAGGTGGTGATGATGGTGGTATTTTTAAGCAATAAACATTTTCTAAATTATTTTATTTTAGATACCATGGTTTACTGTTAATGGTAGGGTTTCTTGCTTAAAACATTCCAGAACCACACCTGCATTGTTTCCAGATTTTGGCTATCATGAAAAGTGCTGCTATGAACCTAGGAATGCAAAGGCCTTTTCTGAATAGAGGTTTTGGGTCCTTGGAATAGATGCCAAGAGGTGGGATGGCTGGATTCTGTGGAAGCTCAATTCCTAGTATTTTGAGATGTGTCTTGTTTTTTCCAAAGGTCGGGAAAGTCAGACACTTTCACCATCAGTGAAGAGAGTATTTCTAAATTAAGGTCTATATGTTGTTTTATTTAGATTTAGTTCCTTATTTAGATTTAGTGTTACCATGGACTGGAGCGATAACACAGTGGGTCGGGCATTTGCCTTGCATGCAGCCAGCCTGGCAGAGCCGGGTTCGATTCCTCCACCCCTCTCGGAGAGCCCAGCAAGCTACCGAGAGTATCTCGTTGCACGGCAAAGCCTGGCAAGCTACCTGTGATGTATTCGATATGCCAAACACAGTAACAAGTCTCACAATGTTACTGGGCCCGCTCGAGCAAATCGATGAACAATGGGAGGACAGTGACAGTGACAATAGTGTTACCATACACTTAATAGCCTGGGTGTAGTGTATGTTATAATAAAACAGTATTGCATTCCAAAAACTGGAATGAGAAATGATTGTGTCAACGATAGATTTTAAATAATAGGGGGAAGGCCCAAACTCTTTGACAGGCTAGATAAAAGAACGGTTAAATAAGAAGATAGAAATCTGAGGGCATTAAAAATACAAATATAAGGTAGCCATTGTAATAAAAGTATAAATGCCAAATCTCCGTCCACGATGTTTTGTGGGGTTTTGTTGCTTTTTGGGGTCACACCCGCGATGCACAGGGGTTACTCTTGGTTCTGCACTCAGAAATTACTTCTGGCAGTGCTCAGGGAACTGTACAGATTATCGGGGATTGAACCTGGATTGGGGTTCAAACCCAGGTTGGCTGCTGGCAAGGCAAACACACTACCCACTGTATTTTCATTCCATCCCTTGTTTTCAAAATGACATAATGAACAAGAACCTAATACAATCAGAGGTATACATTCGAAAATGGGATAGAATTGAGATAAAGGCACTTGATTTATTGGGACCATATTCCACTGGGGATTCCGTAAACATACAGAAAGATGCAGCTAGAAATACTTTTGACCATCAGGAGTGGGGAGTGCCCCATTCTCTCAACTGCCTGACACTGGCTCTGTTTGAAGAACCCCTGCAGAGGCTCACCGAGACCAATAATTCTCTCTCTCTCTCTCTCTCTCTCTCTCTCTCTCTCTCTCTCTCTCCCCCCCCTCCCCCCCACTCTCCCCCAATAATCACTCTGTCTCTCTTGTTTGTTTTGGTTGAGGTTGACACTGGTCTACAGCACTATGGGTCTTAGGGGTGCGTCTTCTGTCACACCTACCCACTGTCTTCTGCCATGATCCTGTAGGACACGTCACCTACACCCCTCGCCCCGCACTCTCCTTTGATAACCACAGTTGTGTTGTTAGAATCCAAGATTTTGTTTTTGTTTTCTTTGTTTATTCTTCATGTGAGTGAAATGATAAGACCTTGCATCTTTGGGGGATTGATTTCTTAGGAGAGGGGCATGGTGCAATGCTTACGTGCTCAGGGGGGCCCCTGGAAGTGTAGGCCGGATGATCCAGTGCTTGGTCCAGCCACTCGCTGCTGCTCTGGTTCGGTGGTGCAGGGGCCACCGGTGCTAAGGATTGAGCTCCATCCCTTTCCCCACACCTTCTAGCTCTTCAAAGCTGTCTCCCTGCTCCGACCCCTTCTGACTTATTTCACTTAGCACAATCCCCTCTCTTCCTCCTATGTTGTGTATAATGGCAAGATTTTATGTATTTTATAGCTGGATGATACTCCATCGTAGATACAGACCATCTTTTCTTGAGTTGCTCATCTGATAGTGGGTTCTTAGGTTGTTTCCAGGCTTGGCTGTTCTGAGTGATGCTGCAATGAACATACAAGTGTATATCTTTGTAGAGGAATGTTTTCATATTCTTCCTACTAATAGTTAAGAGGCTGCGTTATAAACTGACCCTGTTTCTAACTTTCTGAGGACTCTAGATGCTGCTTTACAAAGTGGCTATTTTAAGTTTCCAGCCCCACCAACAGTGTATGAAGTCTCCTTTTTCTCTGTACCCTTGCCAACAGTATCTTTTTAATATGTGTCAATATCTGAGATGCTCATTTTGCTTATATTTTGATAATTAAGTGATAAACATTTTTTATGTGCTTCTTGGTCCTCTGTATGTCTTCTTTGATTTTTGGGGGGGAGAGGGTTAGAATTTGGGTCACATCTGGCAGTCCCCAACTCTGCTCTGGGATCATGCCTGCTGGTGCTCAGGAGACCTTGTGGTGCAGGGAAGTGAATCACGGCTTCCCACAGGCCAAGAGCGCTCTCCACCCCGGCCTCTCTGGCCCTGAACATTGTCCTTGGAGAAGTGCCTGTTGAGTCTGCACATTTTTTAATTGAATTACCTTGAGATACATAGTTACAAAGTTGTTTATGATTGGGTTTCAGTCATACAGTGTTCCAATACCTATCTCTTCAGTGTACATTTCCCACCACCAGAGTCTCCAGTTCCCCCCCCCCCAACCCTCCAGCCTTCCTCTATGGCAAGCACTTATCTCTCTTTCTCTTTTTCTCTTTCTTTCTCTCTCTTTCTCTCTCTCTCTCTCTCTCTCTCTCTCTCTCTCCCTCCCTCTCTCCCTCTCTCCCTCTCTCCCTCTCTCCCTCTCTCCCTCTCCCTCCCTCTCTCCCTCTCTCTCCCCGCTCCTCTCTCCTCCTCTCTCATTTTAAACATGATGGTTTGCAATGCTGGTACTGAAAGGTTATCATGTATATTACTTTACCTGCTTTCAGAACTGAGTGCACTTTTTTCACAATTTTTTTCTTGTTGAAGGGTATGTTATTTATTCTGGATATTCCTTTTTGGATATATGAATACCTTCTCCATAGGAGGTAGAGCCCCTTTTTTGTGTTGGGGGCTATGGTAAGCCCAGCTATGCTTTGGGCTTACTCCTGGCTCTATGCTCAGGGATCATTACTGGCATTGTGTGGGGGATCATTTGTCGTGTTTGGGGATTGTACTAGGTTGACCCTCTGCAAGGCATCAAGCCGTCCACATTAACCACCGTATTATCGAGTTCCACCTTTTCTATTTTTGTGGTATTTGTTTTCACTGCAAATGAGATTTTTAATTTGATGTATCTTTTGTATATCATTGCTGTTGTTACCTTAGCTATTAGAGTTGAATCCCCCAAAATAGACCTGCATCCATAAGCTTGTCTTCTATGTTTACTTCTGTATTTTGAGGTTTTATATTCTCATTATGTCTTTATTAAGTTGTTATATTTGTAGATGTATTGTTACATTTGTAGTCTTATCTGCATGAGATTTGGAATGCACAAGTATAGGAGGAATCAGTCAAGGTTTGGAACAACCAGTTCAGAGGACAGATATAGGAACTTTAGGGACACTTACTTCAGGTCTAATGTTCTTTAAAATCACAGTCAACAGCTTGATTTCCTCCTTGATTGGAGATTCTATACCTTTTTTCACTGGTTCAACATCAAAGATCCAACATCAGTTAGATTTTCTGGCAAGCTTGTGTCTCTTGTGTCCACTGGACAATTAATTCAAACTTCCAGGTTTTGGAGGATTTTGGACTCAAGATTTTGGATTTCTCTCTTTTCCAGATTTTACAGTGTGTAAAGACCAATGTAACGTGTGTTCTGTATAGTGAATATTTCGTTCACATAGTTCTGCTAGTCACCATGTATTTCTACTTCCACTCTCGCAGCTACATGGACCATAAAAAAGAACTGCATTGGAGTTTTTTCCTCTACAAAGCAGGTTTGACGCCTGCTGTGATCCACTCTTTCATGAGAGAATAAGCACCTTCTGCCCGTATGAGCCACATTGTGGATTTTTCCCTTTTCCTCTGTGAAATTCCTGTTATGTTCAGTTACATACTTCATAATTTAGTAATCTTTGGTCATGATGAAAGCATTGCATTTTTGTCTGATAAAATCTGTTGATACTCCCAAGAAGTATTTCATTTACTATTTTCAGACAATTATGTAATAGCAGATATTGTTCTTTTCATTTCCTTAGTATTCTAGTCAAATAACCCATTATGGATTTTCAAATCGAGTTCTTTATCAGTTGATACATGTTCTCATTTAGTATTAACTTTTTTGTATATATGTTCAGGGATTTTTTTTCATATATGTTTTTATTCTTTTATAAAGTTATAATTTTCATTAGGAGACAAAAATGAAGAAGGATTCAGCAAAGCAAAATCTAAAAAGCAGATGCTACCTTTCCTGTAAGAGCAAATGCACCTTGTATCCATTTGTTGCCTCATCAGATTTATCATGGGGTGCTTTTTGTTTGGTGGGAAGGGGTTCTCTCTCGGTAAAAATGGGCCTTGGTCTTTTAACTACTTTTCTTTGCCATTTGGCACTGTGTTAAGCTTGTACAGAATGGGGGACTTTGCGGGGTAAAGGTTTTGTTCTTGATCTGACTCGCTGGCTCAAGATCCCATGGTTTATGATACACACAACTTCCTCTGCTTGCAGCCAAGCACAGTTCAACCCCCAGCATCTCATACAGTACCCTGAGCACCAAATAGAGTGATCTCTGAGCATAGAACCCAGGGTAAGCCCTGAGCTCAGCAGACTGTGACCTGAAAACAAAAAGAGGAGCTGGAGAGATAGTATAGCGATGTCGTCCCCCATTGTCCCGTGTCGTTCACCCCCCCCCCCCCCAAGTTTTCCAGTAGCAGAGCCAGGAGTAAGCCCTCTGCACAGCTGGGTAAGGACCACAAGCCAAAGAAGAAGAAACTCTTCTTTCTCATTAATAGCAGTGAAAAAAGCTGGCAGGGAAACAGAGGGGTACTGATGTGTCCGTTTAATATCGCAGATGAAATCTGCAGATCATTGCTCAAAATCCTGAATGACAGTTTGAAGACTAACAAGATTTGCCTAGATTCAGAGGACCGTTTTTCCATATACTGCCAAGTACAAAGAGTTTCGTTAGTCAAGAGCCTGGCTGAAAAATTAGTCTAGATTAATTGCCAGTAAAAGGATATTACTTAATCTTGAGCCTGTTGATAACGAAAGGACTTAAGGAGGACATTGTTCTCCTAGATATTCTTGCCTAAAAGTTGCCTAAGCTTAGTCCAGTCGTGAGGAAACAGATCAAACCTAATTGAAGGACATTCTACAAAATAATCGATCAGTGAGACTGCCTCATGCGTGGTTACACCCATCCCACCCCACCCAAAATGTGTCAAAATAATAAAAGAATAAAGAGGTTTTTTTTGGGGGGGTGGACCTTGCAGGGAAAAGGAGAAATAAATTGTGATATCTCAGATAGATAGGATATTGACTTCAGGGATCTCTCTCTCCTTCCTTCTCTTTTTCTTTTTCCTTTCCTTTTTTTGCCACTCCTGATAGTAGTCAAGGTTCACTCCCGACTCTGATTTGTGTAGGAGGCGTCACTCCTTGGAGTACTGGAACCTGGTCCTCCAGTATACAGTGTACAAAAGCATGTGCTCAGCACATTAAGGAAACTCTGGAGCATAAATTAAAATGTCTTTGAACTCCAACAAAGATGGATAGTTAATACTGTATTGGTGTTAATTTCCTGATCTTTGTAATTATTCTGTGGTTAGGAAAGATGTCACTTAGGTAAATTCAGGAAAGAGATCCTTGGAGATTTTTTCTTTTTCAGACTTTTTAGTCCAAAATTAGATTAAACATTAAAGTAAATAAAATTATTCAATATGAAAAATTGCCTATTTAAAGATTTCTTTGAGGTCCTGGAGTGTAGTTGAGTGGCAAAATTCATGCCTCGCTTATTTTAAGGCCTGGATTTGATCATTTGTTCCACCAGAGAATAAAATAATGTTTTAGGACCTAACTCTAGAAGTTCTCGTTTAAAATTTTTTTAAACTAGGGCTGGAGAGATTATACAGTGGGTAGGGCACTTGCCTTGCAAGCAGCAGATCTGTTCTATCCCTAACACCCCATATGGTCCCCAGGTCCCTCCAGGAGTAAACCCTGAGCACTGTGCCATGTGGCCGGGAAAAACAATTTTTTTTAAATAAAATGAAAATATTTTGAAAAGCCTAGTAAAGAATATTGAAATGTATGTTTTTGTGTGTGTTTGTAACAGAGTTAGAAAGAAATTTCTGGAACATCGTGAAGAAACCATAACGATAGATCGGGTCTGCAGACAAGAAACGTTTGCTTATGAGATGGTAAGCATCTCATCTTTTTCCCCTTTTCTCGCAAAACAGTAATCTCCATCATTAGATGAGTATTGGTGAAACTGGAGGCTTTTTATTGTTGTTTTTGATGTCTGGGAACTAAACTCGGGGCCTCACATATGCAAGGCAAGTGCTCAACTGCTGAGTTATATATCCCTGGCCCTAAACTGGAGACATTCCATTGGGTCTGGGGACTCTTAGGAGAACAAGACCCAGTAGATTCAAGTAATGATGTATTTGCTCACTGCTGATATTGTTTTGTATGTTGACTGTATATATGATGTTGGTTTGTCCTGCAACTTGGCCAAATCTACTTACTAACTCCAGTACCATTTTTGGTTTATTATTTTGGTTCATTTTTCCATAGCTTTGTTATACTACCAGCTGCAGGCTTTTTCATTTTATCTCTTCCTCATTTCTTTCTCTTTTTTTTTCTGCCTAATTACTCTGGCAAGAATTTTTAATAATATATAAAACAGAAGTGTAAAAACATTTAGCCTTGACATGTGACATCCTTATCAGTCTTTTACCATTGAGTATAATATTTTTGTATGTTGCCTGTATCTTGTTTAGGAAGTTACCTGTTGTGCTTAGTTTATTTCATGTGTTTATCATGAAAGTTTATTAGTCTTTTTCACATGCTTTCTCTGCATCGACTGAGAAGATGATTTCTTCATTACTTTATTGGTGTGGTATACTACATTGATTTATATGTGTTGGACTACATCTTTGTGATGTGAGGATAAATTCCACTTGGTTGTGGTATATAATTCTTAAAGATGTTGCTAAATTTGGTTTACTAGTATTTTGTTAAGTTTTCTGTTTACATTCATCAGGAATATTCACCTGTTTTTTTTTTTTTTGCAGTGTTTTTGTCTGGTTTTAGTATCAAAGTACTTGGTTAATTTCATGGATTGAGTTAGGATGTGTTCCCTCCTGTTCAAAATTTTTTTAAGATTTTGAGCAAGCCTAATGAATTCCCTTGGGTTTTGATTACTTGAAAATGCCTTAATTTCTTTTTTGTCCTTTTGGGGGTAGGGAAGGTGCCTAGGATTGAACCTAGAGTCTCATGAGCAGTGTATACCCACTACCACTGAGGTCTGTCCCTAACATCTCTGAGGTATTGTTTTGCCAAGTACAGAATTCTTGGTTGAAAGTTTTTTCTTTCTTGGTGTTAGATATGTCACCACACTGCCTTCGTTGCACCATTATTGCTAATGAGAAATCTTATTGAGGAGCCTGATTCCCTTTTGGTTTTTGTTTGTGGTTTTCTCAGCTCATGAGGGCATTTAAGACAGTGCATTTAATTTCTTTGACTAGTACTTGAAATATCTGAGCTTCCTTAAGGGTGATTTTTGTCAAATTCTTTTTCTTTTGTGAATGGACTGTTGTTTTTCTATTTATATGTAATGATGCCATGTTAGTATTGTAATTTCTACCCCTCTTCCCAGGGATGCTGGGGATTGAACTCAGCACAGTGTTCCTGGAATGCGAGTGCTGCACTGCTGAGTTACTCCCCCAGTCCTATACCAGCAATATAGATGGTGTTACACCAACCTTAGTTGATCTCCTCTTTTTCATCAGTTGCTGAGCACTTACTGCTAAACAGCTTTTTCATTTTTTTATACATATTTTTTTAATTGATTTATTTATTGAATCACTGTGGGAAAAGTTACAAAGCTTTCAGGTTTAAGTCTCGGTCATGCAAATATCAAACACATTTCCCATTACCAATACTTATTTTTCACCACGAAGAACCCCAATAAACGCCCCCCCAACCCTCCCAATGCCTGTGAGGCAGATGAATTCTAGTTAACACTCTATCTACTTTGATTAGATTCATTGTTTCGACAAAAGATGCACCATTATTATTTAGAGTTTACACCCCCAAATCAGACCTGCTGAAAAGGCATTGTGAAATAATTTGTTTTCTACAACTGGTTGCAAGAACCAAATGATTTTGGATTTCTGGTATTTTACTTATTAAGCCTGGAAGTATTTCTGCCGAGAGTCAGGTAATTATGAGATTGGTTTCTGTGGCTCTGGAACCATGGCCGTGCCGGAGAGCCTCGGGGGGGGGGGGGGGGCAACTGGTGACCTCGGTAGGGCGTGAAGGACGAGCCTGGAACGCCCCCCTTCCCATGAGGTTTCAGTCGCCCCGTCATGACTGTTTCATACCTGGCTTTCCATAAAACTCCGAAGCGGCTGCCATCTTTCTTTTCAGAGGGAAAAAGGCTTTTTCATTTTTTTTTTTATTGTAGTTTAGGTAACAGGGTTGAAATAGTATTTGTGCTTATGATTTTGATGTACAATCTTACTGCCCTTTCCCCAAAGTGCCCACAACACTCCACCACTGTCCTTTTGTCACTTTTGGTTTGCCTCTTCCTTCTCACCACCCCCTCCACTGTGGTATGTCAGTTTTCTGATCCAAGAGAGCCAATATCTTACTGGCATCTCTATATGTACATTCCCAGCTACAATTCAGTAAATTAAGTATTTTCTGGGTTTTTCTATTTGTAGAAGATGAAACGAAGGCTTATAAAAGTTTTAAAAATTTTCTTCTGATAGAGTTATGAGATTAATCTACATGGCTGATTCAAATCCCCGTTTACAGAAAGTGTTGTACACTGCCTCTTACCCAAGTCATGGAGTCTAATTTAAGGTCTCTTAAATTATTTCTCCTCCTCCAGGAGTCGCATGCCATGGGGAAAAAGCCTGAAAATCCAGATGACATGATTGAAGAAGGAGAGCTTATTCTGTCATTGAATATCTTGTACCCTGTTATTTTTCATAAGGTCAGTAGTAAAATCTTTCAGATTTCATAGATAATTTAGATGTCATAGATGATTCGACTATCTCGTCCAGGGATTTAATTTGGATGTTTAATATCCCTAGAGTTCAGAACTAATATTAGCACATGGATATCTTACATAACATCTATAGTCTTTGGGTCTTTATTTTGGTTTTGATTTTTGGTTTGAGGGCTTGATTTTTGTTTTGAGGTGCTAGGAGTCTAGTCCAATCTTGGTTGCTCTGGTGGTGCCAGTGATTGAGCCAGGCTTCTACATGCTAAGCATGTGCTCAGCCCAAATTCCTGGGTTGTTTTTACGGAATGTTGTGAGAAGGATCAGACCTCTTGATTAATGGGACTATGATTATAGCATAGGATATATATTTGATTGTGCCTGGGAGCAACTAAGAATATATGTGTCTATAGCACTAAAGCACTGTCTTCCTGTTGTTCATTCATTTGCTCGAGCGGGCACCTGTAACGTCTCCATTGCGAGACTTGTTACTGTTTTTGGCATATCGAATATGCCACAGGGATCTTGCTGGCCTCTGCCGTGTGGGCGGGATACTCTCGGTAGCTTGCCAGGCTTGAGAGGGGCGGAGGAATCGAACTCGGGTTTAGCCATGTGCAAGGCAAACGCCCTATCCTGTGCTATCTGTGCTATCGCTCCAGCTGTCTATAATTAACTATAATTTTATGAGTTCTTTGAAGGTTTTGTTTGGTTGGGGTTTTACAGAATACTGATGAAGTAGCATGACCACTCTTCACCAATTCAGAATCCTTAAGAGGGTAATAAGCTATGTAAGGATCGCTCTTCTTTGATTAAAATGCAGAAGGCTAATAGAACAAAGCAATCCAGGAATTCTTAGGGTCTCTAATCAAAAGAATTCTATTCCTATAGCCTAGATATAATAAACTTGAAGCATCTGGATATATTCAGTACCAATATTTTGAGTAAGATCTCAAAACACCATTCAAAAACAAAACCAATAAAACTGAACCTTTGTGTTTATAACATGAAGTTAAGATATAGATTTACTTTAATGAGGTAATTTCTAAGAAATTTAAAAGAGAAAGTGCTACTAGGTGGAATTATACTCCATAGTGATAGCACAGTGGGTAGGGCCTTTGCCTAGTACACAGCCGACCCGGGTTCGATTCCTCTGCCCCTCTCGGAGAGCCTGGTAAGCTACCAAGAGTATCTCGCCCGCATGGCAAAGCCTGGCAAGCTATCCATGACGTATTCGATATGCCAAAAATAGTAACATTACTGGTGCCCACTCCAGCCAATCGATGAACAACTGGAGGACAGTGCTACAGTGTCATTATTAGCATCTCGATTAGTATAAACGTTCTGTTGCTGGGTACAGGTACATAGTCCATTAAGGCTGCTTTAATAAAATATCAAAATGGGGAACTCATTTTTGAACTTTTATTGGGGGAGGGACTGAGGCGGGGCATGGTGCTGGGGATCACAGGTTCTCACATACTTAATGCAAGTGCTCTACCATGAACCTGTATCTCCTGCCAAGAATGGATGTCTATAAACGAGGTATTAATTTATTGCAGTTTTAGGGCTGGAAAAAAATCTAAAACTAGGGTTCCAGCATAATCAAGTGAGGACTCTCATCTCAGTCACAGACTTTTCACATATAAGGGTTTAGAGAGCTCCTTGGGTCTGTTACAGGAACACTGATCCCCTTTGGGAGGATTCCCTTTCAAGGTCTAGTTACCTCCATAATAAGAAAACACAAGTGGCCTTACATGTGTGAGACCCTGGCTTCAACCCCAGCATCGCTGCAAAAAAAAAAAAAAAAAATCTCAGTTTAAAGATGGGATGTGGCTTGAGTTAGAGCACCCACCATCTATTCCTGAGCTGTGCTGGTTTCCAACCTTGATACTGCCCCTCCCCCCCCAAATAGTTTGTAAAGAACCCTTCTCCTATCACCATTACATTGCATGTTGTGATTCTAAAATTTTTCAGATTATTGCAACAGTACTACAGTGTACCCAGCATGTTTTCACTGATTGAGGTCTCTGAGGAACAACTTGAGAGGCAGTGAGATTGGTTTTTGTTACTTACCTTTTCTAAGAGGAAGGGACACAGAGTGTCCTGCTGCAAGACCACAACAGGAAGAAGCTCCAGAAATAGTTTGGAAAAATCTCCAGGCTTTCATAGAGTCGGGGATGACTTCCCCCAAGCCCCCTGTTCTTCCAGGAACCTGGCAGTCACACCCATGAATTACCTCTGGTGCCATATAAGTTCATTAGTTGGCCATGGTCCAGAGACCCACAAATAAATCTCGAAAGAGAGCAACAAGCTGCGGAGATGCTTCCGGGCCCCAAAGTCACCATCCAGTTAAAATTTAACTCCTGCTGTATCACCCTATTTAAAATTTTAGAATTCCTAGAACGACATTTCATACTCTACACCACTGATATACCAGGAGTAGCACACCACATTGGATGGGACGTAGTGGATCTCGATCAAGAAAATAATAATATACAAGGCTTAACCTGTAACAGCATGTTAGTAATCTCTTATGCAAGGACTTAGTTGCTCCAGGGAGAGATACAACAATCTTCACACACTTTCTTCTAAAGAATTATTTTTTGATCATTTTTAGTGAATTATTCATAACAATACAAAATAAATGATTTAGGTCCTGCTGTTGGGGGAGGCTTGGGTGGTGGTTGGAAAAATTGGAAATAGTGGTGGTGGGAAGGGTAATAGTGGTGGGATTGGTGTTGGAATAGTGAATGTAATAAACCATCATTAACAACTTAATAAAAATTAAATTAAAAAAAGAAACAGTTTCAAAGATAGAAAAGAGGTAAGAACAGCCTTTTTGGGAATTTCCCTGGGAAAGGCAGAGCCAAACAGGTAAACAGATTTAGTATTATTGGCCTGTATGAATACTTCTAGTAGACTCTAAAATACCAGGATTATCCCTCATTATTTGAAACCTGGCCCTGGATTGTAGTTGGACAGTATAAATACTGACTTGGTTAGAGCGTTAGTCCTGAGCACTGCCACATGCCACATGTCCGTCGTCGTTCCACCCACCACCAAATAAATAAATAATTAAAAGGTATTTTCAGAGTATGATCTGTGATTCCACATGGGGTATGTAAACAATTGTAGGCTTGAATTTAATCTGTCATTAATGGATATCAAATCGGGTAGGGCGTTCGCCTTACACGCAGCCAACATGGCCGACCTGAGTTCGATTCCTCTGCCCCTCTCGGAGAGCCCGGCAAGCTACCGAGAGTATTCGATATGCCAGACACAGTAACAACAAAGTCTCCAATGGAGACGTTACTGGGCCCGCTCGAGCAAATCGACGATCAACGGGAGGGCCTTTACCTTTACCTTTATAATGAAAGCAACCGGTCCTTTGTTTAGATCTGAGCATTATAGGATTATTGGGGGGGGGTTCTTCCCCCTGAGTAGAGATTTAATTATTTACTCATTGGCTTTTAGCACAAAGAGCATAAGCCCTACCAGACGATATTGGTATTGGGTAGTCAAAAGCTCACGGAACTGAGGGATTCAATTTGCTGTGTCAGTGACCTCCAGATTGGTGGGGAATTCAGCAACAGTCCTGACCAGGCCCCAGAGCACATCAGCAAAGTAAGGTGATTTATTTATTTATTTATTTATTTATTTTTAGATCCCTCAATGAGAATAAGAAGCTAAATGTAGTGATTATTTTTCTAGCAAGTGCATGAATACTTTTGTATTTTATACCATTATACTGTTATATCAAACTGCTACATCATCTCTTTCCTTTATCAAGACTATCTGTCCTCTGTGAGCTTCCATTTCACTCAGCCCCCTGCTGAGGCCTAGCCTGGTTTCTCTCTTGGATGGTATAACCAAGGATATCCTGTACTTGCAATTATCCCTACTCTTCCCTGCATCATCATTTCTGTTTGCTCTTTCACCCTTGTAAAAATGTGGGGATAGATTCTGCCCTGGCTCTTCCTATATCTGCCTACCACACTTCATTGTTCTCAGCTTCCTTCTCTGCTCATTGACTCAAGAATGAATGATAATTAAACATAGGAGGTAACATGACGTTGCATGCAACACACCTGGCACCCTATATCGTCCCCTGAGCACCGCCAGAAGTGATATCCCTGAGCTCAGAGCCAGGAATAATCTCTCTGGGCGTGGCCAGATGTGGCCCAAAAACAACCCCACAAAAAGATACATAATAATAATTAGACCTAAATCTCCACTGATTCTCTTTTCCTCTTGGTACACTCAAATTACTTCTGTTCCACAATCATTTTTGTTAATTTCCTAATTTTTTCTACCACAAACTCAGTTCTCTTAGTTTTTCTTTAATGCACAGCACATTGTACATTTTTTAAATACATTTGATTGGGATTTTAGGACATTATGTTTACCTGATTTTCTGTATGACTATCATTTTCTTTGCTGAATGCTTTGTTTATCTTCCTAATACACTCAAATTACTTCTGTTCCACAATCATTTTTGTTAATTTCCTAATTTTTTCTACCACAAACTCAGTTCTCTTAGTTTTTCTTTAATGCACAGCACATTGTACATTTTTTAAATACATTTGATTGGGATTTTAGGACATTATGTTTACCTGATTTTCTGTATGACTATCATTTTCTTTGCTGAATGCTTTGTTTATCTTCCTAATTAAATCTATTAAGATCAATTCTCATCTTAAAACCATTCTGTTTGTGTATATGTATACAATAAATCTTATACATTTCATATTATTGTGATATATGACATTTTAAATTAGAAATTATTAACAGTGTCACCTGTTTTCTCATAGGATTTGTACAAATCAGCCTTCTTTTATTTTGAAGGAACTTTTTACAATGATAAACGATACCCTGAATGCAGAGATTTGAGCAGGTACGATTTCAAAAACTATCTCAAATTCTTTTCTATTTCTAATTTGCAAAAGCATTGATAACCCCACAAACCCACTCAAAGGACATCAAAGATCTCTACCCATGAATTATTCTGTTAAATTGTTTCCTTATTTTATGGTGTCAAACAAAATTCTGTTTTTCAGTTCTCTAATCTGGTTGGCCGTGATGGTAGCAGTAGTAGTTTTAGTAGCAATAGTAGGTGGGTGTGTAAGTGTGCACGAAGGGTCAGGGGTTCTGTCTTCCAGTGTTGAACCTAGGGCCATGTATGTAAGAGATGTGCTTTCTGCAGTGAGCCGTGTATTTTCCTACAAAATCTGTAACAACACGTAGATCATTATTGAATCCTTGTCAGTTACCTACAATTACTTTTTCAGTCTACTACTTATTTTTAAAATCATAGTGGATTTTGTATTGACCTTTGCTACATCTGAAAAACTCAAATCCCTCTTAAATTCTTCACTAACTTCATTAGGTGATAGTTTATTTTTCACAGTTTTTTTTGTTTTGGGGTCATACCCGACCGTGCTCAGGAATCACTCCTGATGGGCTCAGGGACCATGTGGTATACTAGGGATCAAATCCAGGTCAGTTGCCTGGAAGACAGGTGTTCTACTTGCCATACTATTGCTCTTACCACTGTTCTTTTTGTTTGTTACTGTCCAGTGTATGCTGTTGTTTGCCCAAAGTGAGTGGCTAGCTGTGAATACAAAATTCTTACCTAATGTAATTTCACTTCGACTATAATTTTATTTTCAACCATCATATTAGCTAATTTAAATAATTCCACTAAATGTTAACTTTTTTGTTTTCTGTTTTTGAGTCATACCCAGCTGGCTCAGGGATTGCTTCTGGAAGTGTTTGGGGGACCATATGCAGTGCTGGGGCTTGAACTGGGGTCAGCTGTGGGTAAGGCAAGCCCCTTATGGCCCTGTTTTCTAAAGCAAAATGAGAGGCATGGCTCATGTTAAGACATTTTCCATTCAATTTAAAGTGATACATGGCGACCTCCAGAACACAGGTCATTTGTAAAATGATTTGTGTTTAAAAGAGCAGATGTAATTTTAGAATTGTAAAGATAACTTTGACCTCATGGACTGTTATGGGGGTCTCAGGAACTATACCATTATGTATGTGTCACTACGTACGTAAAAACTCTGATTTTCCTCTTAGGATAGCAATTGTTCTGTTAACTGGTGAGCTGGCTTTTGTGAAAGGCTGTAGTCACAAACTTTTCTGTCATCTCTAGAGTTTGTGCATCATTGATCTCTCCTCACTTTTTCCTCACCCCAGAACTATTATTGAGTGGTCAGAGTCCCATGACCGAGGCTATGGCAAGTTCCAGACTGCCAAAATGGAAGAGTTCACCTTCAATGACTTGAACATCAAATTGGGTTTCCCTTACTTGTACTGCCACCAGGGAGACTGTGAACATGTTGTCGTCATTACTGACATAAGGTGTGTACGTGCGTGTCAACACTCCAAACACTGTTGTTGCTTACTCTCCTTATCATTTCCTTGTGAAAATGCAGGGAGTTAACTTTTTATTCCTCTTCTCCTGTTTATATATTCTTTAAAGGAGTAAAAGTAGTCACTGCAGACTTTGGAGCAGAGGGGAAAAAATGTTAGCTTTCTACGCATGCAGTGATCAACTCTGCATTCATATGAATCCTTTGTTCTGTTTTTAAGATGAGGGTCAGTACTCTGAATTCTTTAAAAATTAAATTTCTCCAGTTGTATATGACGACTGTTTATTCGGATGGGAGTCATCCACTCTGTATATCACACATGCCAACCGTTGCTTTCACAAATGTGAGTTATTTTTAGATTCTTGGCATTGTTTTGGGAGTAAGTTGAGTAGTAATTCTCATTATTGAGTGTCAGAGCACTAGAACTTGAATGGAAGATCCAGATTTAATGATTCCTGGCACCGTATTTTCCCCACACTGCACCCCAACACCTCCAAGCATGACCCTCCTTCCCCAGCTGAAAAATGCTGAGTTGGGAGCTTCAGAGAGTCTGCCGTTTAAGAATATTTTTAAAAATCTATATAGCTGGATCTATCATGAATAAAGACTTTCATTTTCTTATTTAGGAACTCTTACTAGTTTATGAAGGACAAATATATGTGTTCAGACTTACTGTGTGCCTTCTGAGATTTGTGGAACATTAATTACCCCATTTTTAAATTTTGGTTTTGGGGTCACATCTGATGATGCTCAGGGCTTGCTTCTGGCGCTGCATTCAGGAGTCACTTGACAGGGCTCTGGGCACTCGGGGATACTGAGGATCCAACCCAGGTCAGCTCTGTGCAAGGCAAGCACCCTACCTGCTGCCCTATCCCAGGTTTATATTATACCAGCAGGAGGAACAGATAACTTCCAGAAAGTCCCTGTCTCTTTCCATCTTTTCCCCACCCCCAAGAAGTGCTTAGCTCAGCCAGGGAAGCCAGATGAGTTCCTGCCAGGGCCCAGGAATGCAGCGAGTGGATGCTTGGGACCTGTGTAGTCAGGTCTACACCTGGTAATACCTAAGAGGCCATGCAGTGCACACACCTTCAGATCCTCTCCCAGGAGGAGTCTGTACGTGCGCCCTGACTCTAGTGCTGTCTCCCTGGGGCCAAGTCTCCAAAAATTTACTTTCCAAGCTCTGAGAAGTACTTCCCATGAAAAGCAAGCCTTGTAAATAAAAATGTGGGGTGTAAAGCAGTAGGATCTGGTGTCAGTTCATAATGTGCACAAGAATTTGCATGTTAATATGTTCATTTCCTTCTAAAAGGCTTGTGCATCGTGATGACTGTTTGGATAGAAAACTTTATCCCCTTCTTATCAAGAAACACTGGCTGTGGACCAGAAAATGTTTTGTGTGTAAAATGTACACAGCCAGGTAAGTCATACCTGTTTTCTTTGAAGCACTGATTTTTTAATGATACTGATCATTAGTTCTTTTCTTTTTTGAATTTGAGGACTTCTGCTTTGAGGTGTACTACCTACTAGGGAAGAAACACAAATTAGCTTATGCGCAACCATGTTTTTCATCAGTAAGACAAAAGCAGCTCAGATTCGGACCGACTTGTCATCAGGAGCATATTCTCTTGTCTCCAGTCAACAGTTCGAGGGGAAAATTTTTCTGTCAGCTTGTTTTTATTTCGCTACAAAAACGCTTTTTTAAACAATCATTAGAAAAATCAAGGAATGTCAAAACGAAACCATGAGAAGCAGAATTAAGACCTAAAAACTGCATTTTCATTGTAGTAGAAATCTAAGGCCATAAAATAGAATCTCAGTTGAATACAGATGCCCATGTTCTTTCCATATGTCAGTTAAAAGTTTGTAGCATGTAATTTATAGCTTTTTCAGATAGAGGGTTAAGTACGTAATGGCAGTGTATTATTGAAGCCGTCGAGATTTGGGTTTTTTTTTGGTAGGGGGTGGGGGGAATAAGGCGTCGAGAACCATTTCCAGGGGTACTTGGCAGGGAGGTGGGAGGAGTATGTGATGCAGGGATGTACCCTAGGCTTCAACGTGTACATGCAAGTCCATTCCCAATTCAGCTCACCCTGGGTCTTCAGCTTATCTTTAAAGCCTTTCAGTGGGCTTTCAGTCTACATATAAAGGTAGAATGATATGCTGTGTGGGTCATAATTTATAGCATGTTTTAAAAGTCGTATTTTTTTTTTTAACACAGATGGGTGACAAATAATGACAGTTTTGCACCAGAGGACCCATGCTTCTTCTGTGATGTTTGCTTCCGAATGCTGCACTATGACTCAGAAGGCAACAAACTGGGGGAATTTCTTGCTTATCCTTATGTTGATCCTGGAACCTTTAATTAATAACACCAAAATATACCCTTGTGCAAGCACTGTCTGCTTGGATGATCTATTTCCAAGAAATACCATTGAGGAATAGTATTTACCTGAAGCAGTTACCCTAGTTGAAATTCAAATCAGATATTCTTACAACAGTGATTTGATTGTATTTATGTTTAGAAATATATTAAATTGTTTTAGTATTTATTCCAAAGCTTTTTGTCCATTTTTAAGTGATTCATCTTTAAGTTCTAAGAGTGTTTCTTGTATACAAATCCTTTGTCAGATATATCTGTATCCTGATGTCCATCTGAGGCTTCCCTAGCTGATGTGTCCAGAGTTCATTTTGCTAATGACAAGTTAGTTAATGGCACATCCGGTGGTGAACGCATTTATGAAATTCTTTTAAGAGAAGTGAGGGCTTCATCTTGTGCTATGATGCTTTCTAGGGAAAGAGCCATTAATCCTAATAAAAATGAAGCTGAGCATATTTACAGTATTAAAAACTGTTGTAATCCAAATTCTCACAGTGGGCTCCTTAGTGATTAGCTCACCATACAGATTTAATAAGGCTTTCTGCATGAAAATAAAAGATGTGGATATATACAATTAAACTTTCATAGAAGTAGCATTTAAACTGAAGTCTCATTTCTTAATAAGGTCTCTCTTTAATTAGTTTATAATGCCTGTTTATTTTCTAATTAGAGCGATTGTATGCAATACGACCAACTAGGAATGGCCAACAGTATTGATTCCTAGCTCTGGCTCTGCTAATTCTTGGACATTAGTGCCCAGTATAATGTAAGAAAGAGAAATGCAGTGGGCTGGGGATCTGGCTCATTGCTGGCATGCATTTGGCTCAGGCTTTGCATTCGTGAGCGCCACGTTCGGTCCTCTTGACACCTGGTCCTCTAAGCACTGCCAGGTGTGGCCCCAAAGACCAAACAAAAAATAAGAAACACAAGTCTTTGTGAATCAGCTCTCCATTTTCTCTTGTTACCTTAATAGAATCCTAGTTTTCTTCTGTCATTCTTGGCCAAAAGACAACTTCAATAAATCCTGAAGTCTAGATCAGAAACCTGTAGCCATTTATATAAATGTGTTCTCCAGAAACCCTCTTTGATGGACAATATATTACTGTTTTAAGACTTTTTGGAATGCTATAATAGTTATTAATGTGTTACATTTAAATTTCACTTTCTCTTTTCTAGGTTATGTTTAAATTCAACTGAATACCACATTCCACTGGATGGCTAAGAATCTTTACCATATAAATCAACTAATCCCATGTACTAAAAGGCTGACAGTGAAATATTTTATGGACTAACACACCGTATATATTGGTGTGTGAGCACCTGTTTCAGTTGTCTTGTGGCGTTCTCCCTCAGCCGACTCAGAATCAATGTTAAGAACTAAGCTTAGTCTTCTTCATGGCTTAATTTTAGATGCTTTGTGTTTTTCATTTTTATGCTGCTTCTTCAAAACCGTACTTCCAATTCTTATCAGTTCCTTAAGTCAAAAATACTTTTGAAGCACATTCATTATAAAGCTCTGCTTAATATGGCCTATTTTTATTCATAAAATGCTTTTATGTTATGACCCATCCCAGGCAGGATTCAGAAAAGCAGTCCCACAATGCTGGGGCTCGAAACCAGGCCTTCATCATACATTTAACTCCGCCCTCTTAAGCCAGCTCATCCCGAAGTTTTGGGGCAGGAGGTGGAGGTGGAGGATGTAGGCCCCATGAGGGTGCTCAGAGAACCATGTAGTGCTGGAATCAAGCCAGGCCTCCGCAGCAAAGCATATACCCACCCAGTCCCTTGAGCATTCTCTGGACTCGTTTTAATGGACCCCAAAGACTCAGATGTATTATTAACTGCTATTGTTTCAAAGATTCAGATAGCATATACCTTCTTGTATTGTTTCTTGGTAAATTCCTACAATGTGCTAATATATTGAGTTAAATACACAAGTCTGAAAGATCTTTCAAGAGCAGGAATATTGCAGCTGCAAAATTCAACTATTATACATGACATTTGTCATTCTTTACATCCGTGATGTTGGCAAATTAGACTATCCACATACATAAATGTATTTCTATTCATCTAGTAGGTTTTCTTCATTCAGTTAGCTTTTCTTGTTTCTGGGACATACCCAGTGGTGTACAGGGCTTTTTCCTGGCCCTTCACTCAGGGATCATTCCTAAAGGAACCTGGGTCATAGAAGGTGCCAGGGATTGGATTCGGGTCGGCCATATGCAAGGCAAGTGCCCTACTCTCTCTGACTCTAGCCCCAAAGTTTGTTTTAGAAGCCCAACTTTTCGCTAAGCAATGTGATGCCAAAGAGTTCCCTCTGTCGCCCTTATAGAGCCTAATAAAAATTTCTGCTCTCGTACAGGATTATAGATGGTGGACATCATCTTGACCTGACAGTAGCCAGGTAAGTTGCAATAAAGGGTGGGCGATAATCAGTATAGTGACCAAAACAGGGTAAACCTAGAAAGTCAGTCCTGAACTTTCAAGTATAAATCAAGTTCCTGGATCTGGACGGCACATCTGAAATTTCTTGAGGTACCTGAGAAAAGCAAGTGATCTACCATAATATTCTTTTAAAAACTTATCCAGTAGGAAAGCAACGCATAACATCTTTATACATACAATACTAGGTACGAGCTCATTTAAAATATCTGACTTGTTCAGCTATGGAGTTTTGATTAAATATACAAACTGAGCAAATGGTCATGGTAGTTACCTATGAATCAACTTGGGACAGAAGTTATTTCTTAAAACCATGGTTTAAGATCGAAGAGACCATTGCTTTCACATTAGTATCAATTTGTTAGAACCAGGCCAATTCATGTAAGCAAATAGAAAATTGTCAAAACCAACGGGGAATGTTTTGTGGTAATCTATATGTGGGATTACAGGAGGAAAAAAGTGAAAAAAATATTTTCTTGGCTTTTATCACTGAGCTTAAATAGTGCAATCCGACCAAGTGAACATTAAGAAATTACTAGTACACTTTGATAGAAAAATTCTTTAATCAAAACAAGTTTACATGTTGACACTTATGGCTTAACTCTAATAAATCTGTCCAAATTTAAAGTGTAAGGACTAAACGAGTAACGAAGGGTTTAACAGCAAGAATTTCCTCAAATCAGTGGGCCCTAGTTCCATTGTAAGACCTCTGAAAAGCAAAACTTGAATTATAGAGGTCGAGCATACAATGCATCTCACATGCACAACACTGCATTAATTAAGCCTGTATTCAGTTTCAAAGATAGAAGTATCATTGAAAACCTCAACTGACCTAATATTAAAAATATTTTCAAATGCTTTTAATTACCTTTGAATTTTGTTTTCAACCTTGTTTTCCTGATTGAGTCCCTCCAAATACAGAATATACAGGCTATCAAAGTACTCCTTTGTCTGTTGCCTTGGAGTGATCAATGCATCCACACTTTGCAGTCCTACCACATGTACAATATAAAATGAAAATTACCTTCTGATACAGCCATACTTTCAATTAGCCTTAGTTTCCTTATATATTTACTTTTTATTTACTGTGTGTCATGGGATTTTTTTCCAATTAAAAAAATACGACGTATTGATTTCCTTAATGAGTATTTTAAGAAACTTCAGAAACTCAAGATATTTCTCAAAAATAATCTTCAGTTTTCTGTTTTCGCGACTAGTGCCCGTGATTATAGATGGCTGAACCCCCCAACCAGATTCATTCCTATACATACCCATTTCACTCTAAGTCATGTGACTTTAACTGAGCTCCCTGCCATGAAACTAATTTACATCCAAATGTTAACATGAATTTTTTTACCTCATAAAATTGTTAAATATCAGGTGGATATATGGTTGTCATACAAAAAGGGCATACAGACCACACATTATTACAAAGCAGTAGGATGTTAGCACAATGTAGACAGATTATTTTAAAATAAACTTTTGATAAAAGGGAGGGAGTACTTATATAGAAGTAACATTTTATCTACCATTAAAAATGCGTAACTTCTACAAAACCCACAAACAGTGAAAAGACAGTCTGGTAAATCCAATATTTGTAAAAACTATGCACAAACCCCCACGATATTTTGGGAAAGAGGAAAGGTGTATACAAGTAGCTCTTAAAATGTAACCTTTTCTTCCTACTCTCATTAACACATTAACGTACACACACTAATTGAAAATATGCTACAACCAATGTCTTGAAAGGCAGTTTAACATTTCCAGAAATGGATTTCCCCCACATGTACTGTATATTGTAGCTGTCAATACTGCACAAGTACAATTAGCAATGTTTACTTTCAAAGGTACGGGGGAATGTCTCCCTCAAAACAAGTTTCAGACATCAAAACCTATGCTTATAAAAATTTAAAACTTTCAGCAATCTAAATATTTCAAATGAAAACCATTACAAACATCTTGAATGTTCTTATGTTCCAGGTATATCACCCTAGTTGTCTAGTGTAGAATCCTTCAAAGATATTTCAATCTCTCTCTCTTCACTGGATGGCCTAAAAGAGGAAAAGAAAGGTGGGGTCAATTGGGCTTTACAGTTTAGGTTTTTTCCCTCAAGAGGAAAAAAAATTAAGCACCTGACTTTTAAAACTTGCTTTTCCACAGTCTTCACTCCCAACATAAAATAGCAGTGCACATCAAGCAAGATATTACACAAATGATAGATATTTCCCTGGATATCAAGAATTAAAAAACTGTTGCGGTCAGAGGGTAGGAATTATAGTACAGCAGGAAGGGTGACTGACTTGCCTGTAGAAGGTCTGGGTTCATCCCCGGTACCCGAGTACAGTCCCCTTCCCTGCATCCCATATGGTCACCCGAGCACCACCCGGAGTCATTCCTGAGTGCATGAGCCAGGAGTAGCCCCTGTGCATCACCGGGTGTGATGCAAAAAAAAAAAAAGTGATCCCTGAGAACAGCTGGGCTGGGTATGGGCCCGCCCCTTTCAAAAAATAAAAATATGTGCGTCTACGCCCACTGTAAACTTGGACACCAAGTTACTGTGTTATTGTGGAGCCCAAAAATAGCCTGTGATTCTAGATCTAATTGTGTTATCCTTTACAACTCAAGAAAGTTTTAACAAATATCAGAAGATAGGTATTTTTGTTAACTGGAATACTAAAGTAGTACTTTTTCCCCCCCTTGTTTAAACAAGAAATTCAGAGAGAGAATTTAGGGAGGTAGGAGGTAGATGTATTCCAGAACATGTCCTTTTCCAGAGGGTTGGAAAAGGCTGGAGGGAGAAATAAATTTTTGAACACAGGCTTGAAAAGGCAAGCAGGTCTAATACATTCGAATACAACACCAAAGCAGTTGGAACAAAAACTGTGTCCTCTGGTTCGAATTTTTTGACTTCCTGAATTCATGAACTGGAGGTCAAAATAAAAGGCCTCACACAAATAACCTAGGAACAACAATGTGATTTAAAAAAAAATGTTCTTACTTTTTCTTACTGCTGGCCTCATGACTGTCTTTGCTTTCTTCATTGCTATCACCATTATGTTGTGGTTGATTACTGTCTGGATTATCAGGTCCTCCATTCAGAGTCTTTGAACCTTTAAGAATATTCAAAAGGAAAAGCTCATAGAACTTCTAATACTTTTTTTTTTATTATTCTTTTTAAATGGAGAGAGAGTACAGAGCCAACATGGGTTCAATCCCCAGCACT